CATTACTAGTAAAAATAAAAAATCCCAGTGTGTATATACCACCATTTGTAAACTCTATAACTTTCACATAAACCAATTAATTTACACGTATTGGGATTTTTTTTTAGCGAAGACATGTCGCAGAATGCATTTTGGCCTAAATTTATGACTTTTTTTTTTTTACTGGACATGTTTAATAGCAAAAAGTCAAAATATATATATATATATATTTTTTTTTTCTCAAAATGGTTATTCTTTTTTTTTTTTAATAGCGCAAAAAAACGCACAAGCGATTAAATACCCCCAAAAGAAAGCTCAATTCGTGGGGGGAAAAAAGAGATGTAAATTTCATTTGGGTGCAGCGTTGCATGACCGCGCTATTGTCTGTTAAAGTAACGCAGCGCCGTAACGCCAAAAATGGCCTGGTCAGGAAGGGGGGTAAATCCTCTGGAGGGCAAGTGGTTAATAGAGCATGCTCTAATGGGAAAAGTAAGAAGAACCTTGTCCTGGAGATGATAGGCTTGAATGATAAGTTGTCGAATCCACCTGAAAACAGGAAGCAGGTTGTCTCTGTAACTCAAAAATGGCCTGCTCAGGAAGGGGGGAAATCCTCTGGAGGGAAGGGGTTAAAGCAGAACTTTACCCCATAACAACTTGATAAAAAATAATGTTCTTTAGCAAGGAACATACCTTCCACATTATTATGCTACCAAAATTAGTGTGTGCTGTCTATTGCCTCCAGCATTGCTCCTGTTTCTTCTGGCTGGAGGCTGCCATTTTGTTAGAGCCCTGAGCAGCAGTAAATCATAAAGTGGAACTAAACCCATCGATTTATTGGTTTCAAAAAACGGTTAAATTCATTTACCATCCAGAGGATTTACCCCACTTCCTGACCAAGCCATTTTTTGCGATATGGCACTGTGTTAGTTTCATTGACAATTGCGTGGTCATGCAACGCTGTACATAAAAGAAATTTTATGTAATTTGTTTCCTTGCAAATAGAGCTTTCTTTTGGTGGTATTTGATCACCTCTGCGGGTTTTTATGTGTTTTGCGCTATAAACAAAAAAAGACCAACAATTGTGGGGGAAAAAAAAAACTTTTTTTTTTTTTTTCAACATTTCCAGTAAAAAAATAAATAAAACATTTCTTCATAAATTTAGACCAAAATGTATTCTGCTCTCAATGTCTTTGTTATACATGTAAATTAATTGGTTTACACAAATGTTATAGCGTATACAAGTGGCGGTTATACTGGATTTTTATTTTTTATACTAGTAATGGCGGCGATCAGCGACTTATAGCGGGACTGCGGCTGGCATTCTGACACGGGGGGGGGGGGGGGGGGGGGACTGACTAACTGCCACTGACATCCCCAGTGACACCAATACAGTGATCAGTGCTAATAAAAAGCACTGACACTGTACTAATGACACTGGGCAGGAAGGGGTTAACATCTGGGATGATCAAAGGGTTAACTGTGTGCTGTGTGTGTTTTACTTGGGAGATCTGCTGTGTATTTCTCAGATGTGCAGAGAAATACACAGCAGCATGCCATTGCTGACAGGAGAGAGACCTGTCAGTTCTGCCAACGATCAGCGAGTCCTGGCTGAGAATCGCTGGCCGGGACCTGGTGATTGACATGTCCAGCAGCCAATTGTGGGCACTTGTAGGGTGGCCTGCGCCCCTTATCCTGCAATGCAAATCACATATATTTACGTGACTTTGCGCAGCCCTTCCACCCTGTAGTAGTACTTCTGCTATAGGGCAGCAGGCATGTGTTTAATGTCTTACATAGCTATACCTGCAAAAGAAGCCAGTCTGAAATGATCTAGCAGGACTTAATATTCTGACTAAAGTTCCACTTTAAAGGGGGGGGGGGGGGGGTAATTATTTTCTATACCCACTGTATGTATTCTGTTTTCTCTCCTTTTTATGGTAACATTCAGTACAGTATTAAGACCTGTCTTGTAATACAACAAGATACTCTAGATTAGGGAAAGGGGAATGCAGGGCATTTGTTTAATATTCTAAAGATTCTGGGAATGGAATTGTGTCGTGCAGGAAAAAGCCACGCAGGTCTTGGTGCTCTCACAGTTTTGAGCTCTGTTGGGATGAGTGGCATGACCACCACCTGTCCCAATCGTTATACGGGACCGCTGTGAGGTCCCGATCATGTGATCACTGATTGGCCAATCAGTGATCACATGAATAGTAGTAAGCAAGATGTCCCTTCCTGACATCATTGCTTACTACATGTGAAATCTGTGAACGATCATCGAGATCACATGGTACAAGGCTATTCACAACAGCCTTGTACCATGTGACAAGCTGTGACCAATCACAGCTCGCACAGTATTTCTCGATGACTGCAAGAATGCAGCCAGAGAGAAGGAGAAATGATTGCTCTTACAGCCTTTATGGGTGTAAAAGCAATCCGTTTACAATAAAAAAAAAAAAAAATCTTCATCACACCCCACAAGTAGTACACTGTCACCATGGTGACTGCTAGGGTGAACATAAATAATATAAAAAAATAAATAAAAATGTTTTGAAAAATTATAATTTTTGGTTAGAAACTAATTTGGGTTATTTTTTTTTTATTTTTTTTTTTTTTTACTAAAAAGATAACTGAATAAATTTTAGCCAAGATTTATGAAGAAAGATTTATTTGCAAAATTTTATAAAAACACTTTTTTTCAAAATGTTTGGACTTTTTCATTTATATAGCAAAAAAAAAAAAAAAAAAAAAAAATCCCAGTGGTGAATAAATAACACCAAAATAAAGTTTTATCTGTCTCAAAAAAATGCTAAAAATGTCATATGGGTACAGTGTTGCATGACCGCACAATTGTCATTCAAAGTGTGACAGCGCTGAAAGCTGAAAATTGGCCTGGACAGGAAGGGGGTAAAAGTGTCCGGATATGAAATGGTTAAAGTCTCCCAACTTTATAGCTCATTATAGTCTGCATGTCATGGTTTGATTTTTGTTTGCAAATATTTTTAATTATCTTCCAGTAAAAATACATCTTCCTGTCCCCCTTCAGTGCTCTGACGGTGGCACCCCGCACACAGATTTGTATTGCTTGGAAGGGAAGGGGGTGTGTCTCACCAGGTCTGTTACTAAGCACTGATTACAGAGTGCACAAGGTCTAATTTTGGTGCCTATTATGATGCACAATTACATTTAGACATCCTGCACAACTGCTGTCACAGGGAAAGGATAAGACTAGGAAAATGCAGGTTGTTAGTCCAATGTCTATCTGGTAGCATACGGTGAAGGAAATAAGTATTTGATCCCCTGCTGATTTTGAATGTTTGCCCACTCACTCGGTCTAAAAATCGAATGTTCGGTGTATTGTAACACTGAGAGACAGAATAGCAACAAAAAATTCAAAAGAAATGCATGTCTAACAAATGATGCACTGATTTGCATGTTCATGAGGGAAATAAGCATTTGATCCCCTATCATTCAGCAGGATTTCTGGCTACTAGGTGTCTTTCATACAGGTAACAAGCTGAGATTAGAAGCAGTCTCTTAAAGGGAGTGCTGCTAATCTCATTTTGTTACCTGTATAACAGACACCTGTCCACAGGAGCATTTAAACAATCAGATTCCAAACTCTCCACCATGGCAAAGACCAAAGAGCTGTCCAAGGATGTCAGGGACAAGATTGTAGACCTACACAAGGCTGGACTGGGCTACCAAACTATCGCCAAGCAGCTTGGTGAGAAGGTGACAACAGTTGGTGCAATCATTCACAAATGGAAGAAACACAAAACAAGTGTCAGTCTCCCTAGGTCTGGTGCACCATGCAAGATCTCACCTCGTGGCGTGTCAGTAATCATGAGAACAGTGAGGAATCATCCCAGAACTACACGTGAGGATCTTGTCAATGATCTCCAGGCAGCTGGGACCACAGTCACCAAGAAAACAATTGGTAACACACTACGCTGACAAGGATTGAAATCCTGCAGTGCCCGCAAGGTCCCTCTGCTCAAGAAAGCACATGTCCAGGCCTATCTGAAGTTTGCCACTGAACATCTGAATGATGCAGAGGAGGACTGGTTGAAAGTGTGGTCAGAGGAGACCAAAATCGAGCTCTTTGGAATCAACTCAACTCGCCGTGTTTGGAGGAGGAGGAATGCTGCCTATGACCCCAAGAACACCATCCCAACTGTCAAACATGGTGGTGGAAATATTCTACTTTGGGGGTATTTTTCTGCTAAGGGGACAGGACAACTGCACCGCATCAAAGGGACGATGGACGGGGCAATGTACCGTCAAATCTTGGGTGAGAACCTTCTTCCCTCAGCCAGGGCATTGAAAATGGGTCGTGGATGGGTGTTCCAGCATGACAATGACCCAAAAACACACGGCCAAGGCAACAAAGGAGCGGCTCAAGAAGAAGCACATTAAGGTCTTGGAGTGGCCTAGCCAGTCTCCAGACCTTAATCCGATTGAAAATCTGTGGAGGGAGCTGAAAGTCCGAGTTGCCAAACATCAGCCACCAAACCTTAATGACAGAGAGGATCTGCCAAGAGGAGTGCGCCAAAATCCCTCCTGAGATGTGTGCAAACCTGGGGGCCAACTACAGGAAACGTCTGACCTCTGTGATTGCCAACAAGGGATTTGCCACCAAGTACTAAGTCATGTTTTGTGAAGGTGATCAAATCCTTATTTCCCTCATGAACATGCAAATCAGTCATCATTTGTTAGACCTGCATTTCTTTTGAATTTTTTGTTGCTATTCTGTCTCTGTGTTACAATAGATCAAACATTCGATTTTTAGACTGATCATTTCTTTGTGAGTGGGCAAACATTCAAAATCAGCAGGGGATCAAATACTTATTCCTTCACTGTAATTCTACTTCGGCTGTGTTTTTTAATGATGTCAAATGTCTCTGTAGTGGTTTGTGATTTCTGATGAATAACAGTCTTGCATGAATGGTACAGGCCGTATTTAATATCTTAAACAAGTACACTTCATCCCTTCAGTTGACCTCTCATGTCTTCCACAGTTTACTGCCAGAATTTTGCCCCAAATTTTAAGGAGAGCGAGATGAACGCCATTGCAGCGGATATGTGCACAAACGCCCGGCGCGTGGTGCGCAAGAGCTGGATCCCAAAGCTGAAACTGCTGATGGCCGAAGGTGACGCGTACACGTCTTTCATCAATGACACCGGTAAAATGGAGCCGGACCTGATGGGAGCGGCCACCGGCGGAGATCACGGCACCGGCTTCGATGGCGAGCCAGGCGAGGGGATGCCCTGAAACCCTTCTGTATGGGCCCACACGTGTAAATATCACCCTCTGTCTTCACCGAGGGAAGTGGGGGTACAGGACAATGTGGCACTCAGGAGGTGGACTGTAATCTAAACGCCGCAGTAGGAGGTGCTAAGTATGACTGTGCTGCTGCACGGACTAGAGACTGGTGTGGAGGTACTCTGTATCACTATACACTGCTGCATGAGGTACTCGGTATCATTTAGCGCCCCGTGTTTCATTATCAGTATACAGTTATACGCAGTGTCATTATATAGTGCAGCGTGTACATTATCAGTGTATAGAGATACTCCGCATCGTCATACAGCACGTCAAAGATCGTAGAACTGAAGCTGAGATTCACTTGTAAATAGATACTTTGCGTCATTTTATAGTGCAGTCGAGGTAGAAGTATGGTATTCTCATTGGCCAACTGATAACCCAAGTCCTGCATCCCTGCTGCGAGATTTAGCGTTTTTTCTTTAGTAATTCCTTCCATTTTTCAAGCACCTCCTGTGGCATCCCAAGAAGGAGTCGAAGGTTGCCCCCTGAGCATGCTGGCTGTGCACAAGAAGCCTGGTATGCTGGGGCCCGAAACAAGCTGCAGATATGACCTGTATATTCACGAGCTTGCAAGGGAAATACTTGCATTGCACAACCAATATGGACAGAGCGCCCCCTCCTATAGCAGCCAGATATTCCGCTTTTTAGTCAGATCACTGAAAGATTTCTTCTGATTGGTTGCTGTGGGTCACCGTACTTTTGTCTTCGTCGATGGAGCCCCGTAGGCTTGATACTTCTTAACTGCACTAGAAGAAAGAGTTAGATGCCTGCTTGTTGCTGAGGGCAGTACTGTCTCTATACTGTGCTCCAGGGTTTGAATGATCTCCTGGCATGTTCTTGGGTCTTGTAAACGGAGACCTCTTACGTTTTTTTGAAAGGGTTAAAAAAACGTTTTTAGTATTCCTTTTTCTCCAAAGTTTGGTGAATCCAAATCCTAGTTTTGATTGACGCCAGCACCTTGCTTGAAGTGAACCCAGTCACCCCACTGGAACCAATTTTTTTGTAAAACCAATATTTTATAGAATATAACTTATTCTTTCATGATCCATCTTAACATGGCTTTCTCCTAAACGAGCTTCCTTCCTTCTTTTTTTTTTTACATTTTATCAGCATGTCGTTGGCTAAGCAGCCCAAGCACAGCATTGTCTCTGCTGCCTTTTGATCGCAAGGTTGTCGCAGCTCCAACACCGGACTGGTCGTGGTGTAATCTCACAAACCATTGATAAATTCGCATGGGTGGCTTGTGAGTGAAATGTATTGGGTTAGCTTGTTCTGTACTCGGGTGCAAAGCTAGCTAGCAATAAGAAACGGGTTCCTTGGTGTTTGATTGGTCTTTGGGCTTCGTTTGCTTTAAAGGATTGTACATTACAAAGGTTTTGTTTTTGCACTTTAAAAAAGGGGCATGAGGGTTAGCCGGAATCACTCTGTTTAACCCATCAGTCCTTTTAACTTTTGAACGAAAGAAAGACTTCGGAGCAGACACCACAAAGAGTTTGGTATTACCCTTGCCAGCCAGAGAATCCTCTTCTTCTTCTTTTTCTTCTTCTTCTTCTTTTTTTTGCACCCTCTGATGCTGATTTTTCTTTTCTAGTAAGGATTTGAAGAGGTTTCCTTTTTTCTGACAATAGTGCATGGAAGTTAATAGGGGCATTCTCATTGGATAGCAGGGCAGCGAGTAGATGGATCTTTTTCCAGATGCCAAGTATAGCCCTTTTATATAGGAGAAACCAGGATCAGAGGGATATGTAGAAGTGGCCTCTCTGGCTGACAAAGGTAAATGTGAATTCTGAAGGAGTTTTAATTTGAAAAGAAAAGAAGAAAAAAAATAGCTGACCTGTTTGCTTTATAATCTATTACCAAAAATAACCAAAAAGACTACAAAATGGATTGTGAAGGGCGGGAGGTCATATTCAATCTTGGCTTGATGCTAGCACAATATCAACTATTTTAATGGCAGTGGGATTCTGAATGTTTTTTTTTTTTTAAAGTTCACTTAGCTATTTAAAAAACTTCAGAAAGGGTCAAGTGCTTGTAGCAGCCAAATCATATTGTTCCCCTGATTCTTTTTTTTTTTTTTTTGTACCCCCTTGAGCAGGTTATACAGGGAAAGTAAAAACCTGCTTGCTATGGGCACCAGCCAGATTTGTCCTTGTGTTGTAGGAAAAAGAAAAAAAAAAAAGTAATTCTGTATATTAAGGGCCTTATGTATGAAGGGGTCTGCCCATAGGAACCAGTTAGTGCTTTAATTCTAGCAGGGTGAAAAGCTAGTTGGCTGCTATGGCTAACATAGCAACCCTTTTAGACCATTTTGTATAGATATACATATGAAGACCCCAAGTCAAGACAGAATATCCAAGTATCCATGTGTCAGATCTGTTGTTAGAGGACAGCTATGTGTGAGGATTTTTAATCATTTATCAACGTGGGAATTCCTCTGGTTGGGGATTGCCTGATTTGAATGCGGTTCAGTTGCCAGACAGAGGTATATCATACTAAAAGGAAAAAAACCTCCCAAGTATTTGACCCTTTACACAGAGCTGTGAGCACGGATCTGATCGGTGTTTTTGTTTTTAAACCAATAGCATGCATGGATACAGTTGTTTGCCAATTGGTTCGTCTGAAAGCCAACCGGAAAACGTTGCGGAAATTAGCTGCAAGGATAGAAACGAAGGCGCTTCCACCATTGCCTGGCTGGTGTGATGTGTCTCAGTCATTCACCGAGTCTATCACAGCTTCTACACCGACAGGCTCAAAAGACGGGGCAGCAGGTAAAGCTGCAGGTAGGATTAGGTAGTAACGGTTTTATCTGTATATATAGGTGCACAGATCTGCAGCTATCTTACCAATTTTTATATTTGCATAAGCACAGAATTCTCTCTAGGGATGTTAGAAAGAATGCATTCCAGGATACACAACATCTGAATGGGGTTTCCCTTTTAAAAGGGGTTTAGAGATTAAATCAGATCCCCACTTAAAAAAAAAAAGAAATCCCTGTCTTTTCCCACACATTACTTTTAAAAATTCCCCGTATTTCACGCCCTTTTTTCCTCCCGCAGTCTTCTGGCTGGTCATATGATGCCTTTCTCTTTTGCCCCAGTGTTGGGCAGTTCACAGTCCGAAATGCTACATAGAATGGTGATAAATCATAATAAATGAGTGGTCTCTGCACAGCATTCTCGTGTGGCCCTAGGCCGGAAATCTGATGCACCTTCACGGGGTGTGTCCTTGACAGCCTGGGCTCCCAGGAAGTAGGTTGAATGACGCAGGACGTCATTCAATTCAGAAGATGGGTGGTGAAAGGAACAGAGGGCAGTACTGGACTGGAAGATGAACATAAATAATTTAAAGCAGAAACCTGCTTTAAGAAAGCCTTTGCAGGCAGGTCATGTCTGCCAGTGACATGTTGATGCTGTCCAGGAGCCATTTCCATCATGGAGATCAGTCAGCCTATGACTTTAAGAGCTTCCATATCTGATTTGTTTTAAAATTGGCAAGCTTCAGAGCTGTTTTCTTGCACTGGTTTCAGTATTAAGGCTAGGTTCACGCCTATGCTTGTGCTTTTGTCTGTTTTTTTTGTATGTTTTTTTTTTTTTTTTGCAGCGGTTTTGATGCTTCATATTTTTTTTAGGATGAGACTCATTGTTAAAGCGATTCTTCAGCTATTTCTTTAAAAATGAACAGCCAGCAGGTACAAAAACTGTACTTTTACACTCGCCTGTCCAGGGATGCAGCGCTGTCCTCTCCTGTGCTGGTTTCTTCACCAGTCTTTGGGTCCCCAGCGCCGACACATTACGGGCTTGTTCACACTTGGCTGTTTTACCAACGCTTGCCAAACACCCCTATAGCGTTTGGCAAGCGTTGGTCCGGCGTTTGCGGAGAGTTTTTTAACGCTCGGCAAGCGCCGCATGCGCGGTTTAGCGTCGGTTGCTAGGCGTTTGCCGAGCGTTAACGCCCCACAAACGCCTATAATGCAGTTTGAGTGGTGTTAACGCTCCGCAAACGCCCCGCAACTGCACGTTTGCGGAGCGGCACCATAGACGAGAATAGGAGGCTTCAACGCCTCCTGACTCGACCAGAGGCGTTCGTTTTGCCACGACGCAAACGCTCCCGTTAGAACAGCACCATGTGCTGTAATGTGCAGAATTGGCAGAGGCGTTTGGGAAGCGGTAAAAACGCTTCCCAAGCGCCTCTCTGCCGCCTGCACACAACGCTAGTGTGAACGTAGCCTTACTGTGGGCATCCGGCTGCGACTCCTTGCAGCTGCACAGAGTTTCCCACTGTGCATTCGTGAGCTACGATGCGCTTTGTGAATGGACCCACAGCCTTCTTGGATGTGTGACATGTCCCAGAAGGTTTTGGACAGGAAGGGGGAGGGGGGTCAGTGGAACTTCCGCTTAGATCGCAAAATACATTTATTTTTCACGCGCTCCTTTTAAAGTCTAAGGGGCCAAAATTGCACCTTTCCGCACCAAAAGAAGTGCCTGCACCTCTTCTAAAAACGCACTGAAGGAACATGCATAGTTGTGAACAGTCCCCAGGGAAACAACGTAAAATGGATTGTTGTGCGTTTATTGTGCGTCAGCAAATGCGCTAAAAGTCGCACAGTTGTGAACCAAGCCAAAGAGTTGCTGACTCTTAACAAAGACCATATTAGATGTCCTCACACCGGATATGCATGATTTTTTACAGCTTACTAAGCATTATTAATACATAGGAAAACCCTGGAGCTTGCGCATTTAAAACCAAGCTGGCCGTGGCAACGCCAACATTTTGTATCCCGACAGGCCACTTTTATTACCTTTTTGTCATTTGTTAAATAACTGGAGCCAGATCCAAGAGGCTTCTCAAAACGTATCTCATGCAGCAGCTGCATTTAAAGCTGGAAGGAAGGGCGGCGCTGGAGTCGGTAAACATGCTGAGCTGCATTTTCACAAATCCAGAATTTA